AAATATACATAATAAATATACACAGTACACACACACATATATTATCTACACATAAACTTTGTTTGGATGTGATTAATCGTGATTAATTGTTGCCCAGCACTAATATTTATATATAATTATTTCTATTGTTTTTGAAATATGATTAAAGTTTCTGTTTATTGTACTGACAAGAATTTATGTTGAAAGTAAAATATACTTTAATGAATTTCTATTGAAACTGAGCTATATGTAATGTATTTAAATATAGATTTGCAATATGTAGAGCTGCACTATTATCGTAAAAAAATATCGATTCAAACACCCACACGATCTAACACAGAGAGTGCAGTTATCATGTTTAAGTATGAAACAGCTTCACAAACAGTCTTTTAAACCACACAGTATCATTTCTGTCTTACAACATTGATATTATCACAGAAATACTAGGATTTAAGTATTTATAAGTGAGTCATTGAATCATTTATTCAAACATTTTTAAAATAATTTATTCAAATTAATTAAACGTTTTTTAAATAGACTGCAGCAATTAATGTTTTGTTACAGCCTCTAGCAAATTACGTTATTTTGCATGGTTCAGAATCATAGGAGAATTGTGATTTCAAACATAAAAATCATGATTCTCAATTCATCCAGAATCGTGCAGCTCTACACACAAGTAATGATGAAGTGGAAATGTAGTACATTTAAAATATGTTAACTTTAAAGGTCTCCTGAAATGCTTAGAAACACGCAGCGTTACTCTATGTGTTGACGTCATTTTAACTATAAACTTTAAACTGCTATAAAATATAGCATTCTGTGTAGAATACCCAAAAAACTTTAATTTTGATTTCATGGGGACTTTAAATATAATTTTGGATTGACAAAATTACAATTAAGTACAAGTACATTCAATACAACTGAGGATACCTCATTTTTACAATGATATACAAAGTCATGCAGTTCAGAATGTTTAAATTGCATAATAGTGTTTATAAAAAAAATTAAGTTAGTTAAAAAAATATTTTAGGAAAAAAAAATAGTTTTTATGAATAATATATAAAAATATATGCTCTCAATATTTTTTTTATTTTGGTTTAGTAATGGTTAAAGCCCTTGAGGAACAGATGTAATCTAGCTGACTGTTTGGTCTCTGTAGCCCAGCCTTTGGCTCTCTCGCCCACCATCCAATCTGCTACCTGACACCCATCCAGCCTTATTGTTTTTTTTTTCAGGGTTGATTCTGAAATGGCAAAGATCTCAGCAGGTTCCACCTCATCGGCCATATTAGGAAAGTGCAAGTTGTGACATTTAATAACATTGTGGTCTGTGAGTCATCCAGCGTGTGTGGGTGTGTTATTGTGTGTACAGGTGCACGCGTATTTGTGTGTGCGTTTGTTTGTTTGTTTGTCTGAAGCGGCTTATCTATTTCGCAGAGGCATTAATCTCAAAACTATCACGGACTGCAGTGTGTCATTCTCCGCTCACATAAGTCATTCTCAATATCTCATTCTAGCCATTCCTAGGATTAAGATTTGTATCAATCAAAATAATTAATTATAACTAAGACTGTGACCAAAATAACAACAACACTGCAAGTTCGATAAGTATCTGGACGAGTGACTCATCTTTTATAACGTAATAAACGTCGTACCTGTAGAGTTTGAGGGTGACCGTTCCATAGACAGTGGCAAATCCGAGCAGACGAACCCATCGCAGTAGTATACAGCGGAAAACACTTGGCTGGAAGTACAGAATCACCACCTAGAAGATAATTAATATGCATTTATTTAAATATCTGGATATCTGTTTATTCAGATAAGAGGATGTTTGATATGAGACCCCTACTGTTTTGATGATCACAAGATGAAAAAGTAGTTTTATTTTATAAATTAAAAACCACTAGAAAAAGAGTAAGTAAGGGATAATATATAGTCTAGATGTTACCATAAAAGAACGCCATAACTAAATAATCACAGTTTAATAAGCTGCGATAGAAGAAGCTAGAAAATCAAATTAACTACATATACTCATTAATTAATCGCTATATATAATAATATTTGCTGAGAAAAGCCCTGTATATATGTACATAATAAAAGCCCTGTATATAACAATGTCTGCAACCTTTTTATGGCAAAAGAATATCTTCTCACTGTTTTTTAGCATCTTGCGCCATGAGCAGCACATTATGTTCCATTTTGTTATGCTTCACCCAGCTGTCAAATTTCATTGCATTTTTTTAATTAAATAATTTTTTTAACTGATTATACTAAAATAACATAAAATTTACACACATTAACTTACAAATAAATAAACAAACAACCAAAAAATGACACTTAAACATCTTTTTATTGTTGAATTCGTATAAGGAACTAATGGACAACTAACATCCTATCAGCAGCTTTTTTCTCTCTCTCTCTCCTGAGGTCACCTGAAGGTGCATAAATCAGAAATTCACTTTTCATTTCTTTGCTCGTCACTCCATCCAGACTTGCATCAAGCCTTAAACCTATTACAAAATGCAAACAACCTCTATGATGTGTCAGTGATGTGCTCTTTCATTGATCTCTCCATCCATCATCCTGATCTGTCATAGTTCTCCAAACAAACCCGTCAGATGCCAAGGAATCTAACTGAGAATTCCAGCACATCACCGCAGTTCCGTTGCATCCACAGAGAGAAAGAGAGAGAGAGAGAGACAGACACTAAAGGTGAACTGTAATTGAAGCAGAATCTCACAGCTGCGCCGCCCCCTCTGTCCCCCCCGCGCTGGCCTCCGCTCAATCTCTCTATGTGCAAACAGTGATGCGACGCTCTGTGTGTAATCTAATAACAACAGTCTGCTCACTTCTCAGGAAGCTCTATTATTGGATTGATTATGGAAAAATGATTCCGAGCAGATGAATTGCTCCAGCACGGACTCTTCTGTCTTAATTAAGTTGAGGAAAACTAATGACAGACACCGAGGCACATCCGTAGGGGGGCTCCTGCAGACCCTTACAGCTCTCTAACACACTTCTACAGCTACCACACAAATCTTAGAGGCTGACATGATCGAATAGTGAAGATGCATATCATCAAATATTTATTCTGCTATTTAAAGTCAACACGAGAAGCTGTTCAGCATTGGTAACTCATTTAAGGGTGAGACTATATTTTATCCAATTGAAATTAGATAAAGATAAAGACAACTACTATTTAAAAGTCTTACCACCAAAACATACAACAGGCAAAACAAAAATAATTCTATTTTTTGTTATATATATATATATATATATATATATATATATATATATATATATATATATATAACAAAAAATAGAATTATTTTTGTTTTGCCTGTTGTATGTTTTGGTGGTAAGACTTTTAAATAGTAGTTGTCTTTATCTTTATCTAATTTCGAT